AGTAGACCATGTACAGTTACGAATGATGTATTACTCTTACCTTTATGAGCAAAAATGACGGCGTATCCACTGAAAAAAGTGCAAGTGATTGCGCTGGCGCCTCCATGTCCTGCAAAGCGCGCTTCAGCTTGCACTCGCCGCACAAACCATTGGATGTAGCGCACATTTATCTAGGTTTAATGTTTAAACATTTTTATATGGTTGAACTGTTTTATATCTATAGCTAGATTTTATTTTAGTCAGGTCGTGATGATTTGAGAAGGCTAAATTGATCAAACATATGCTCACTGTCTGCCGCTGGCCGCTTGGTCGTTACTTTAAAAACAGAAACTTATATTTAACGAACAAGAAATGCTCCAAACGTTTTTCTAAATTAACTTAATAAACAAACGAAACGAAATATAATCACTTTGCCATTACATAAAAAACTGTGGGGTGGGGGGATTAAGAATGTGCACTTAATTCTTATATATTCTTCTGAAAATGTACTTTGATAACAATAGTTTCTGCCAAGTACCATAGTTATTTGTTTGCTACAGCTATAGAATTAATTATTTGGAATCTCCTTTAAAAGTGTAAAAAAAAATAATAATTTTTTCAAATTTTTAGTGGTAAGAATAAATGTAAGAATTCACAGGGACTTGAAGTTTTAGCTAACATGGTCAGCTTGCCATCTTTTGTCATTATTGTAAGTTGACTGATTTAACGCTGCCTCTGCAAATGGTCTTTAAGATGCATGAACCATTAGTTCATGACTACTTCGCATGTTGATGGAAAGGCTTCCTGAACGGGTGTGACCATTTGGAACAAGGCCTAACACTATCATTATCACAAGTTGTGGCCTGTTCCTCGGTTCTTATGTCTAAATCTTTTCATCATTTTGTTTGGCATTTCATCATTGTGAAGTCAGAACAATGCCTAAAGCATCTTAAGGGAACTGCTAAAGACCTCTTAATTTGTCAAATCAAAGCTGCAGACAGTGCACTTACTCCCATTGTGTAAGTTATTTCCTTCTCCTTGCTCAAAGCATCAACCCATGAAGGTATTTTCATGTGGTTAATCTCATCTCTCAGTTGTCAACATATTCCTTATGTTCCTGTTAGGTGTAGATTTCTATGGCAGACTAAACAATCAGAGAAGGGCACACATTGAAGTGATTCTCCCAGACAAATGATGCAATGGCAAAGCAATTCACTTTCAGCCCCAGACCACTACAGAAGGGGGGGAAAAATCTGAGACCAGAAGCATGTGGAAGCTGAAGATCTCAATCTGACATGATTAGATTTTGAAGTTTGCTGTTTTATTGTTACATTGTGTGCAACATGGACAGAATGATCAATTGTAGAGGTGAAGTCATTATATATATACTGTATGTACAGTACATATATATGATAAATGTGTCATTTTGGGATTGTGGAAGGTATATTATGGTCTTTTTTTATCTTGACAGTCAGAACAGGAATAGGTTTTTAAAGAAAACATGGTACTGTAAAGACAAAACATACCTAATGCTTTATTTAGGCTATTTTTGGTTTGTAGAAGTATTCGCCTCTAGGTATGCAGATAATATTGCTTATGGATCCCTCAGTAGCATAAAGTGGAAAGGTGTAGTACGTGGTGCAGCCAGACTGGAGGTCATGTGCAGACTATGGGAGAGTATCATATTCCAACCCAAAACCTACAGCAGATGTCAGCACCTCTGCCAGAAAGAATCTCTCGTTCTCTCTGTATATGGGGGAGGGGTTTCAGTAGATTGCTATTTTGCCTTGTTTGAGACACTACAGTGTCTTATGCTTTCATGGTGGTCCTGTGAGTCACTTTGATATTGAATCTAGATAAACAGTGAAATTACAAACAAGGCTATTTGAGGGCTGGAGGAAAAGGTCACTGCAGTCACTGCCTGTCTGGCCAGCAAACACTGAGTTAGCATCCGGCTGTAGCATTAGCGAGAACATAATCTTTGTCTGTTTACAGTGAGGTCATAGAGGAAACTAAACTAAACAAACGTTGTGTCACCTTCTATCCAGTGAGTTATCCATCATGCGGGATATGACACGTTAGACTGTCCAGAACAGGAAATGCATCATCGGTGAGGGACATTACAATGACGTGCTGATGATTTACAGTCAAATCCAGTGTTATTTTTGCATTATTTACATACTATGATAGTATTTTTTATATTATGCTTTTATTTATATATATATGTTTTTGTTTTAATAGTTTAATAAATTTGGTTTAGAAATAAAGTTTTGATAGTTGAACCTTTAGTAATTTTGTTATTTGCTTTTGCCATTTTCACTAGTTTTTAAATTTTCTATTTAGCTTCAATTTATTTGTATTTTTGAGTTTTAGTTTTAGTAATTTTAGCACTTCAGTTTAAACTTTAATTTCATTTCAGTTAGTTACCAAAGCAATATTTATTTTATTTTAACATTTAAAATTTGTAATAGTTTTAGTTTTGGCTAACACTAACATTAACTGGAAAAGTCATTTGTCACGTTTAAGGTATTTTGGCTTGTAGTAATGATATTAAGTAGCATACAGTATAAAGACATGGTTGTTGTAGTAAAACATATGGATTTTAAAAATCCTCTTGTGTTTAACATCTGATCTCTGTTTGTACTGTACTGCACATTTGTGGCTGTTAAAGTTCCATGCAATTTGTCAGGTGAGTAAATTCTCTCCTTGTACATTGCTTCTAGTCTGTGATTTGGTCCTGTTCCAATGTGAGAAAAAGACTATTGACCTGCTCACTTTGATTCATTTGGGTCTGTTCCAAGAGACATAAAAAGGGAAAGTAAAAGTTAAAACAATTTCTTGCTAAGCTGCAATTATGACCTAAGGAATTATTGCACTCCGTACTTCACAAGACAGATGAACTTGATAGATGTTATCAGATAAAAATGTTGTAAAGCGAATGAGTGAGAGTCTCCTTGCACAGCTTTTTGACAAGATAAACAGTGTGAACCCCTGAAATAGACATTGTCAGGGAAATGTGAGAATATAAATCATCTTAAGATTTATCAATAAACTTCGTATCATGTCTGTCTAGACTAACTTCTTTAAATTCATAATTTAGACTTCTCCATACACATCTTGTGACAGTCCCTTTCTTACATGTCATTTATCACATCTAGTGACTATATACGACGACTAATTCAGAGTCCCAGCAGTTATTCTCCATTAGGGTCTTCCTGATACTCCTTCAGACCTCTGGAATGCTTGCCAATCACCTCTTGAGAGCTACACACCATCATACGGCAAAAAGAAGTGTCTTTGAGAAAGTAAAGTGGTACCTTCATCCTATGACTGCTTTTATTTTAATTTTTATTGAGGAATGTGTCAGCACAGGGGTGTGTGGAGACTGATAGCAAAGTGGAGTGTGCATGCCAGATATAAGACCACATTCGATTTGCTAGAACATACTGACATATTTTTGGACCAGTGCTACATTGTCCATCAGCTATGTGGCTTTTGGCCAAACATTGAACGTTTTCTGAAAACAAGCCTCCCTTTGTTCCTGGTCATTTATTGTCGGGGGTTTTAATTCAACTGGTATTAATCAGTAATTTAGTTTATGTGCACGCTTTATTAATACGTTCTGCTCCGCTACAATGAAAAACAGAGACTAAGGCGTCTATTGTTCTGACAAAGCTGATGAAGGAGGTATAGTATTGCGTATAATTAATACGAACAATGCTTGAGGTCTTTGGACCTCTGCTGAACGCTAGAGTGCCCTGTGGAAATTTGTGAATGTCTGTGTTTTCATTCTCACTTAATCCAAACACCATTCGCCCAGGACCCTTGGAGAATATCTGCATGGGAGAGAAATGTGTCTGAGCTTTGCCTTTGGTTCACATCTTAATGTTTGTGTAGTCTGTTGAGTGAAGTAATAGAGTGCTTGACGTCGCTCAGAGAGAACAAAAATGTATTTGGCCTCAGTTTGAGACTATACCTGATGGCTACATTCCACTAACAACTGGTTCTATGTCCCGATGTTCTTAAAAATACAGACATTCACACCTTGTGTCTGTTGGCTGGCACACTTGTGTTTTAATTTGCTTGTTGCTGGAGTACTCTTGTTTAAGCTTAAAATGGCACCATTCATTCAGCTAGGAACAAGAATAGAGGGATATATATATAAAAAATGATAAAATAAATAACATTAACCCTTGTACTACGCTGAAAATCCTTTCCCTAATCTGGTGATCTCAGTTGAAATTGACTGGCCTTTTAAAAATTGCTTGTAAATCGCATTGACCTATTATCACTCAATCTTTTTTTCAACTTTGTTTTCTTTCAGTTAGCACAGGTTTTTGTATTTCTTTTTGGAAGTGACTGTTCATAGGAATCATGGATCTGAGTTTATGCACCTCAGTTTTTGAGTGGGGAAAAAAAAATGTTTGTGGATAATTTTGACAATGTTTACTTAAAAACTGTCAAACAATTTCTCAAAAAGTTATAATACCCTGTGTGAGCGAAGACAGTAAGTATTATTGCAAAAACATGAACTCATCATTTTCTAGGTCAAAATGGCCAAAACTTAACATGAGGGTTAAGCGTTTAATTATTTACACATGCACAAAAATTCACAGGTTTTATTCTTCTTCTTTTTTTAAGTAAAACAATCATTCTTACATTGTTTCTTTCATTCTTGCATTATTTTTTCTTGTACAGATTCATTCTTTTCTCTATCTTTCTCTCTCTCTCTCTTGCATCTATTTCTATTTGCAATTGTCGTTGCATGCATTCTTCTTTCTTGCATTCATTCTTTCTTTTTTTTGCATACTGTATGAGTTCTTTATTTCTCTCTTTTTCGTCTTTCTGTTACAGAAGCACAATTTCAAGCATCATATGGACACAGCAGAGAATACTGCATGTGATAAGAATTTTCAGGAACACACTGGTGCTGAAACGGCAGAGCAAGTGTGATGGCCTTGCATTATATTCCAGTGTTGCTGTGGAAGCCGTGTTATTAATTATGTCCTTGTACAGCGTTCTACTGCGCATGTTGGATGACAGGTGCACACACAAAGCTCCATCTTGGTAACCCTTTACCAATGCAATAGGACAGCGGGAATATAGATTCTGTTCAGATTATTGAAATTGAAAAAGATAAGAAAAACAGACGGGAATCGCCGCCGTAATGAAATTTCGCGCTGACTCGCGCTTACTGAAGGAACGACGAGCAGAATGCGATATAGACGGCGACCGGTCATAAATGCTTTTTAACGACCGATCGCACTGTCAGCGCTACTGGATCGGATCTGTGGAACAACAACCGTTACCATATTGAAATGGTGAGTGAAACCGTGAGTAATATTTAAAGAAAAGAACGATCGAGCGTTTTAAATGTGTATGATGAATGGGGGGAGGTGCGACGCGCGTAAATGCTGTCATTCTGTGTTGTATTTCCCTCATCATCGTCATCCCAACCCCCTCGTCGTCATGGAGGATGCTGTTGCTATGTTTTCCCTCTCCCCCATCTGCTTCCGTAACCTGCTTTATTTTCTATCATGCCTGAATGCAACTTCTTCAACTTTATGCTCAAATGCATCCACAGGTCGTTGCTATACCTTTACGCATTTGCATATACATAAAATAGAAGCATGCCAATAGGAGATTAGAGTGATGAGGTTTGCCAATATGAGCATCATCTGTCAGGCTAAAATTATGTATTATTATATATATTTGGGCCTAACTATGATACTATTTTATTACTGAAACAAAATGATAACCATAACATAAGTGTGTGTAATAAATGTGTGAAATATTTGTTTGTTTTTAGGTGGGCAATTGTATTTCTGTATTATTTTTTTTGTTTTGTAATTGTATTTAATATATATTTTATATTCATACATTATATATTTAGCTATTGTTTTCTATGCTATTATTATTTAATTATACAATTATTGTTATTATTTTATTAGGTTTGAAATTAAAATAAATTAACACAAACATTTATATTTGTATACACTTTTATATTTTTTCTATATGGAGATGAACAGCCACTATATGGAGCCTTCATAATATTGTATGATCAGCATTTTGTTTAAACCTCTTCTGATTGCTGTAGCATATTGTGTGAGCTACAGTAGGCATAATTAATATAATGCACATAATTAAATATATTTTCTCACCTCAGTTACCTCTAATACTTAATTTCTGGATGCTTATCTGTTTTCCTTAGGTTCCTGTACAGATCTTTGCCATAGGTCAGAGGTAATGAAAAATGAACATCACCTGTGTATAAGTGGAACAGAGTGAGTTTTTTTTAGCTGTGAATGAAGCAGTCAGGCTTACTAAGGGCAGACAGCCAAAATAAATAAGTGTTTCAATTGAATAAGGGTCAAGTTTATTATAGGTTTAGTCTGTTGTGAAAATAAAGCAAAACCATGTCTCTCTTTCCCTTAAATTATCTTCCGTAGTAAAACATTATAATCAATTTCTTGAATTTCTATACTTCATATGTAGATCTGCAGTCAGTATTTGTATGTGTCTTTCCAAAGAAGAACTGCTTTTGCCATGTCCGCTGAATCCGGGAATGAGAGAGAGAACGAGATTTAGAGATATGGAGAGATCGGAAAGAGAAACACAAGCATCTGGTGATAATAATAATGATGGAATGAGTGAGAGATTGGAGGAGTGTTCATGAACGCTGGCCTGTTTAAGTTAAGATGATGATCAATGCACTGGTACAGAATCAGGCCTCCAGAGGTGGAGGGTGGAAGAGTCTAGACAGGGGAGTTTTCTGGCAGTGTTCCTCAGAGGGGAATTCCTCATGCTGATCTTTCCAATTGTTTCCTCTCATCTACATTTGGGACACTCATGGATGGTTGTGTTGTACAGAGGACTGTACATGAGTCAAATAGGTCGACGTTTGGCATAGTTCAAACTGCTGACATGTAGGTCTTACAGGTGCATCTCAATAAATTAGAATGTCATGGAAAAGTTCATTTATTTCAGTAATTCAACTCAAATTGTGAAACTCGTGTATTAAATAAATTCAATGCACACAGACTAAAGTAGTTTAAGTCTTTGGTTCTTTTAATTGTGATGATTTTGGCTCACATTTAACAAAAACCCACCAATTCACTATCTCAACAAATTAGAATACTTCAAAAGACCAATAAAAAAAACATTTTTAGTGAATTGTTGGCCTTCTGGAAAGTATGTTCATTTACTGTACATGTATTCAATACTTGGTAGGGGCTCCTTTTGCTTTAATTATTGCCTCAATTCGGCGTGGCATGGAGGTGATCAGTTTGTGGCACTGCTGAGGTGGTATGAAAGACCAGGTTTCTTTGACAGTGGCCTTCAGCTCATCTGCATTTTTTTGGTCTCTTGTTTCTCATTTTCCTCTTGACGAATCTATGGGGTATTGTCAAGAGGAAAATGAGAAAAAATTAGGGTTCAGGTCTGGTGAGTTTGCTGGCCAGTCAAGCACACCAACACCATGGTCATTTAACCAACTTTAAGTGCATTTTCAAAAAGCTGGTCAGCAGAAGGAAGCATGAAGTGCTCCAAAATTTCTTGGTAAACGGGTGCAGTGACGCTGGTTTTCAAAAAACACAATGGACCAAAACCAGCAGATGACATTGCACCCCTTTATTTGAATTAAAGTTTCACAATTTGAGTTGAATTACTGAAATAAATGCACTTTTCCAGGACATTCTAATTTATTGAGATGCACCTGTACTTTAAGCATAACTAAGTTATTTCCTAAAGTACATTTTAAATTAGCTAATCCTGCTAATGTTCTTATAATGCACATGCAAGGATACCAAGCACGCTCGTGACATAAATATCAGTAAGGCACTGTTTAGGGGCAAAATTAGTAGTTCTGGTAATAAATTCAATAATTTGTCCTATATAATTTGTGGAAACAATGTGCTTTTATACTGTATAAGCACACTGTCAGACCACACACAGTGACAGACACCCATAACAATTTTTAAAGTGGTCACGGATACAACAGAACCACATTTCCTGAGCCAACGGACCATCAGTCTCCAAGACAGCCCAGTGCATACTTGCCCTAACTGTATGTCCTCTGAGAGAGGACATTGTTATCCATTAATATTGCTGGGAATTGCAAGGCTATGTTTATGTAAGAATTTGAACAAAGGAAATAATATCAGATTTTTTTTTTCTCGAAACAGTAGATGTTAAAATATTGACACTGCTTTGTTTTCTTTTGTTGTTTTTAAATTTTGAATTAAATAAAGGGGATTAAATCACACTATTAAAATCAGCCCTAAATGACCTAATAACCATTACAGAAATAATGTCAGTATGCATCTAATATAATACATGTATACCTGCTCTGTTTCTCTTCCAGGCTAAGTTAAACTGCTGTAATCTGAAGGCTCTAAAGGTGATTTTCTTCTTGCTTATCATCTGTCTCTGGATGGAAGGAGGATTCACCAAAGAAAAATCTGCTAAGAAGGGAAAGAAGAAGGGAAAACAGGTTGACTGTCCTTCGTAAGTACATTTGTATGCAACATTTTATGGCAAATATTTCATAAAACACTGCTATTGTGCTATACAGATATCATGTTGACTATGGAAACTATAGACTAACAGTTAACTAACAGTTAACTAACGGTTAAAGGGACAGTTCACCCAAAAATTAAAATTCTGTTAATTACTCACCCTCACGTCGTTCCAAACCCGTAAGACCTTCATTCTTCTTCACAACACAAATTAAGATATTTTTGATGAAATCAAAGAGCTTTCTGACCCTGCATAGACAGCAACACAAATGAAATTTTTTATGGCCCATAAAGGTAGTAAGGATATTGAATTTTCATTTTTGGGTGAACTATCCATTTAATCTGCTCTAATGTTGTGTGTACTTCACATTTCGCACATGAAGTAACTCACATCATCATAATGTTCATAATGACTCTTGAGTTGGAAATGCTGCCCTTTGCAATAGTATAATGAAAAATGAAAGACATTTTAATAAACAGATGACTGAAACTTTAAACATGAGCATGATTTCACATAGTTTTGTTGTTGTAAATGGTTGCACCCTTATGTCCCCCATCTTTGCTCCCTTCAGGCAGCTGTCGTCAGAGGATCTGGCACGGGTTCCAGCAAACTCTACCAGCAATATCCTCAACAGGCTTTTGGTCAGCTATGACCCAAGAATCCGACCCAACTTCAAAGGTCAGTATAGCGCCATGATATATGTAATTATGAACAAGAGTCATTATGTTGTCTCATCTATCTATCAACACCCCAGAAGCCAAATAGAGTATACGGTGCCCAATCCTCCTCAGTGCCCTCACGGATATTTATTGATACCCCTGCCACCCTCGGTGCTTCAGGGCTCAGTGAGCTCCGACGAGCGAAAATCCCAGCTGCCGCCCGGCAATGGTACGGCACGGGAGAGCTCGCTCCCTCAAGTGAGGGTGCTACAGCAGTCAGGTCGGTTGTTCGCTCAGTGCCCTCACGGAGGTTCATTGATACCCCTGCCACCTCGGTGCTTCAGGGCTCAGTGAGCTCCGACGAGCGAAATTCCCAGCTGCCGCCCGGCAACGGTACGGCACGGGAGAGCTTACCCCCTCAAGTGAGGGTGCTACAGCAGTCAGGTCGGTGAGGAAGGGGGCCATAGAACATGTTCTGCCGCTCTCGAGAGCGTCCGGGTTCTACAGCCGTTACTTCATCATTCCGAAGAATGGGGGGTTGCGTCCGATCTTAGATCTGGACTGGTGTGTTACGATAGATCTTAAAGACGCTTATTTCCATGTTTCCATCCTCCCTCAACACTGGAAGTTCCTAAGGTTTGCTTTCAGGGATGAATCACACCGATATCGAGTTCTTCCCTTCGGCCTGTCACTCTCACCCCGGCCTGTCACTCTCACCTCGGACATCTCGATGCCCGGCTCGGCATCGAGATGTCATCCTCGCCCATATGAGAGAGCTGGGGTTAAGACTAAATGCCAAGAAGAGTGTTCTTTCTCCACTACAGAGAACCACTTATTTAGGCGTGGTGTGGGACTCAACCTCGATGCAGGCACGTCTGTGTCCTGCTCGAATTGAGTCAACCCTCACGACAGTCACGAGAGTAAGAGAAGGCCAGTCACTCACTGTCAAACAGTTTCAGAGTTTGTTGGGCCTGATGACAGCAGCGTCCAACGTGATACCTTTTGGCTTGCTGTACATGAGACCCTTTCAGTAGTGGCTCAGAACCAAGGGATTTTCCCCGAGGGGGAATTCGCTTCACATGATGAAGGTCACGCAGCGATGCTTACGTGCCTTAGACATGTGGAAGAAACGTTGGTTCCTGGTTCAAGGCCGCTCTGCCCAGGGTCTGTGGGAAGACCATCATCTCTTTTGGCACATCAACTGCCTGGAGATGCTGGCCGTGTTTCGAGCTCTGACACACTTCCTTCCAGACCTAAGGGGGCATCATGTGCTTGTCTGCACAGACAACACATCGGTGGTCTCCTACATCAATCGGCAGGGGGGGTCTGCATTCGCGCCCCTTGTACAAGCCGGCGCGCCAGATCCTTTTGTGGGCTCAGGGGAAGCTCCTCTCTCTAAGAGCAGTTTACATCCCTGGGTATCTAACTCAGGGGGCAGATATCCTGTCGAGACAGGGGCTGAGGCCTGGGGGATGGAGGCTCCACATCGAGGTGGTGGAGCTCATTTGGAGGGAATTTGGCCAGGCGAAAGTGGATCCATTTGCGTCGCAGGAAATGACACACTCTCCGCACTGGTTCTCCCTCACGCATCCAGCTCCACTGGGGCTGGATGCCATGGTGTAGACGTGGCCAAGGCTTCGTCTGTACGCTTTTCCCCTGATCGCTCTGCTCCCGGGAGTTCTGGAGAGAGTACGCCGGGATGGGGTCCGTCTGTTGCTAGTAGCCCCGTTCTGGCC